GTACCACCAGTTGTGTTTCAGCATCACCAGTAAACCCAGCTGCCTTCGTCCACAGTGGTTGAAACTGGAGATAAGTGCTTGTTTGGGGCCGGCATCCCCTTTGTCTAATCTAAAGTCAGGCGTCTCTCCCTGCAGGACTGATGTAGTTTGTGTCTCAATCCCTGCATGGGGTTTAGGTCTCGACAGCAACAGCTCCTAATCCACTGTCCAGCCACGACCCGGGAGGGGGCACTGATAGCCCTGGAAGACATGGGGTCTCAGTGATTAATCTATCAATCTGTGATAACTTACAATGTTGGATTCAATTAGGAAAATTTAAATCCCAGATCATTCCTATCTCTGGCTGGAGTCAATGCAGATGTTAAGAAATCCTTTACCTGCTTATAGGTGCTATCATTTAAAAAATGTACATGAAAACTTAAGCTTTATTAGTCCTATTTGAAGGGTAGGAGCCTCTTTTGTTGATGCATATTTATAGTCATGTGGTTATCCAAATGGCCCCCTGTGTCTTGGTTGATGGACTAGAAGAAAAGAAACATTTTACTTCCTTTTGAGAAAGAAACATGGCAGACCTGGCTTTTCACGAACGTACACACCAATGAAAATGTCAAAGAGAGTGAATTATTTTCAGACCACAACCTTTTTAAGCACTTTAATGCTTTAAAACTACCGTAGAGGTTGTGAAATAATTTGAAGGCCCATCTGGCTGTCCTGATAAGATGCTTTGCAGGAAGTTGTTGTGTGTGATGAGTTCCTGTGGGTTAAGGGGGTTCAGAAAAAGAAGAGTTCAGTGGGAAGGAGAGAAAGGAAAAGGATGCAGATTATATCAGCCCAAGAATGAGGATATGGCCAATGAAGACGGTAAAAACATTGTTAGAAAAGGACAGGTTTCACATCTGAAGAACACAGAGAAAATCTCAGTTTTACCACTTTGTCTGCCTTTTTACAGTTTCTGAAAGTCATTTTTAATTCTACTGATTGCTCCTTTTCCTTCCTAGATTCTTGTTTCCTCGTCTGTTTTAGGTTTCTGGACGCTAGCTCAGCTCTGTCTTCTGCAGTTTCAAGGCCTTGGCTTAGAAGGTAATTAGGTGGAGTAGGCAGTGCAAGGACTGGCAATTAGGTGATTAGACGCCCTCACTGAGTGTTGTTTGAAATAGCAACCGGTGTTGTTTTAGTGGGGGGAGCAGCATCACTCAGGCATCATTCAGACTGGGAACCACTGCCACTGCACGGGGAGGAGCACTTTCACACACACACACACTGATACTTTGCTGATCAAGTAACAAAGTGGCCCGTCAAACACCAGGATGCCACATAAAGTCGTACGCTGTGACTTTCCCACTTCTTAAAATCGCCAGTCCATCGTTCGTCCGCCATCACCCCCTCGCTCTTTCTCCTGCCTTTACGGTTCAGTTCATTCTCTTCCTTTTTGTGGCGACCAATAAAGTATTAACATCTCCTGATGCTCTGCTAAATTTCACACTCAGGCCGACAATATCCACGAGCAAGCGAGAAACTTTTATCTAGGAGGATGCAATCTTCAGCTTTCTTGTTAACACTATTACTGCTGTTCAAACATTGTCTTATCTGCTCCGCTTCACATGTCAGCATCTTCAACCTGAACCGTCTCTTCTGAGTGAGTCTGCACAGTAGTTCACGGCTACTGAGCTGTGCTTTTCAGACACAGATATTAGTTTTCAGGGCTATTTATTGAATTGCAGGTACTATTGCGATATCAATTTGTGCAATATCTCAGTTGCCAAAGGCTTGGAAGCCTAGGTCAGTGTCTTGGAAAGGTTTTCACACCACTTACATTTTTCTGCATGGTTTCATGTTACAATGAATAACTTGAATGTATTTTGTTTGAGTTTTATAAGAAAAAAAATACATTCTTCAATAAATATGCATTATGATATGGAGTTTTCACATAAACAAGGTTAAAAACTAACTGTCCAACCACTGAAAACACATTTTAAAACAAACACCACTGAGAGGAAAACTCTCACAATATTCATCTGTAAAAATAATAATAATAATTAAAAAAAAAAAAATAAGCCATTGAACGTTGTAAACTATTCCCCCTGGAACATTGTTCTTCTCATTTCTCCTAACATAAATGGAAAATGTCTCTTGTCCTGTCAAGAAATTCAACAATCTTCACTTAGTTGCTTCTTTTTTGTATAACCTGCATCATATGTAAAAGCCACTTGAAACCAGAGATCTCCACATTTAAAAAAAAAAAAACTTATTTCAGCAAAATAAACAAAAAAGAATATATTTCTATTTAGCCACCTTATGAAACTTCCTAATTTATATCTCTTTCAAGTACTTATCCACTAAAGTTACCTAATTAACTGTGTATTATTGTAATCTCAGTATAAATCCAGCTGTTCTCTAAAAGCCTCAGAGGTTTGTTGGAGAACGAGTGAACACAGCAGAAAAGTCAGGAAGAACTTTGTGGAGAAGTTTAAAGCAGGGCTAAGTTATTTAATAATATTCCACAGTTTGAACATTTTACTGTTCAGTCCATCAGGAGGTATGGCACAACGGCATCTGGTCAGATGTTAACAAAACAAACTTTTTGACCTCCATGAGAAAGAAAACTGACGTTGCACCATCCGCATGGTGAAATGTGGTGATGGCAACTTTTCTGCAGAAGATGAAATGTAGTTCATCAGTGTAGTTGGAAAGATCGATGGAGTGAAATACAAAACAGTTCTGAAAGAAAACCAGTTAGAGGCTGCTAAAGACTTGATTCTGGGACAGAGGTTCATCTCGCAAGACGACAACCGTAAACCAACAGCCAGAGCTGCAGTGGTTCAGATCAAAGCAGGTTCATTTGTTAAAATGTTCCTGTTAAATTTGATGTTTGCAAACATAAATCTGACTGAGGTTGTACTGTTTTTCATAAAAGAAAAGGGTTAAATTTTCGACTTTAGATTTGCAAAGTTGGTGGCGGCATAACCCTGAAGACTATCGGCTGCAATTACAGCAAGTAATGATTCTACAAGGATTAGGCGACTAAATCTGAATGATTGCCACACTTTCAAGCTTTTAATTTCTAAAATAAAACCTTGTGAAAGCCATTAATACTTCTTAGGCAGCATGGCCAGCTTCTTCCTGCTGTCCAGATGCATGGTAGGTTAATTGGTCTCTCTAAATTGCCTTTAGGTGTGTGAGTTTCTGTGGTGGCCTGACGACCTGTCCAGGGTGAATCCACCACTGTTTTACCTGAAAACAGCCCCTCAAAGCAAAAAAAAAAAAAATCTATTTTTTTTTTTTATGTTGTGATCATCATGAAAGTTTTGTTCATCACTGCCCATTATTAATACCTTATATTTATTGTTGTCCTTGCACCTTTCTAATTTATTGCTGGCTGATTTTTGCATTAAGCTCACTAGTAAAAACATATTTAAAGACCTGAGTAATGTTTCGACTCGGGGTGCTCTTCTAAGGTGAAGAGGCCAAGTCACCTCCTGAGGGCAGGGGGCTGTAATGACTTCCCCATCTGGACCCCTGGGACGACGGTGCTCGTGCTCAGCACCTCTCCTGGCCGCCTTAAGTCCGCCGCCTTGTTTGTTTAGGGAAGATTAGCAACGTAAAACCCTTACAACATCCTGAACACGCAGCGAGAGGGAGATGTGATGGAGAAGAGAATAGAGATTGATGGGTAAAAAGATAGAGGGGAGGGTGTGCTGCGGGAGACGGATTGTTTTTAAAAGAAATGAAAGAAAACAGAACATTTTACAATAATTTTAAATGGTACTATATATCTAGAGTGTTTCTTCATTTCTTTTCAATTGACTTGAAAAATAAAAGTATTCATACTCCTTAAAAAATACTACATCTCATGTCAATGGGTTTTATTGAGATTGTTTTATTTTTATCCTTTTCACAAATAAAAATGCTGACATGTTATTGTATTTACATTCAACCTCTTGAGTCAGTACTTTGTAGAACCGTCTTTCTCAGTGATTTTACCTGCAGATCTTAGGGAAACTGCTGCAAAGTAGCTCATGCCCATTCAAACTGGATTTGGTGCTTCAATGAGCATCAGTTTATAAAAACCTTTCCAAATATTTCAACTGCCTCAAATTTCTGGACATTACTTAGCGCATGAATATGCTTTAATCTAAAACCAAAAGGTTCAGCAAAAGCTTTTGCAAGGCACCGTAAAGTTTCTGTAGCGACTGATCTTGGCTGTGTAGATCAGTGTAATATACATTTATGGTCTCCTAAATGCTTGGAGATGGCACAGGTCTGGCTGAATGTCTCCTTTGGGTTGTGTGAAAGTGTCAAGAGAAATTTAATCATCTTATGTAGACAGGTCTGTGTGCATTGTTATTGTGTCTGTAAAACAGTTATGGGGACGCATAAGGCTCTGCCTTTAGAAAATAAATCACTCCTAAAAGATTAACTTCCTTTGGCTCCAGGGTATTTATTACATTAACGTTTTGTTTTATGAAGCATCGTTCTACTTGGTCAGGTTTTTCATTATTATTAATTGTTTAGAATAATGCCTGGATAGTTAGAATTTGGCATAGCTTTCTTTCTTAGACTGTGGTGGTTCAGGTGGGTCACAGGTGTGTGTGTGTTTGTGTGTGCGTGCGTGCGTGCTTAGCTGTGGCAGGAAACAGATGTGCAGTGATATCATCGACTGCACAGGTCTGGGAGTCTATCAGCTCTGGCCAGCCTGCCGTCTCGGTGCAGTGCTCCACTTCCTGTGGGCTTAAATCATGAATGTCCATGATAAGGAGAGCAATGTGCCCGGTCCTGCTTATTGGCAAAAATCTGAGAGTCCCTGATTAAAAAGTTCAGGATTAAACAACAGAATGAAGACAGCAGATGAGATACAGCTGGTTTCGAGTCCTATAAATGACTCCATTAGAGAGTTTGGAGTGAAAAACATCCTGGGAAGCCGTTTGGATCCCGATCAGGAGAGCAGGAAGTGTGAGGGCTCACCCTAACCTAACTCTGATTGTTTTTGTTCTCTTTGACAGCCCCTGCCCAGAGCAAGGAATGGGGGATGAATTTAACCTCATGGATCATTCAGACTTGTACATCTTAGACTTCAGTGAGTATTCCTTCCTGTTGTTCTCCTGCTTCTTTTTTTGTTACCGCTTGTTAAAAATGTGTCTTTTCTATCCTTAAACTATCAAACACGTTCAGGTAGTTTTAAACTTTATTAATGATGGTTCATCAGAAGCTGAAAAGGAGAGATACTGATACCTCTTTTCTTTTAAAGTTTGTTTTTGTTAAAACCACAGATGTTCAGGAACTGTTACATACAATCACTATGAAATGTGATGGAGAAGAGAAGACAACACAAACTCTAAAACACAAATTAACAGTTCAAACTTACTAGGATCATCAAGGTCACATTCATTTTGCACTTTTTAATTATTTGTTTGAAACGTTTCATTGGTAAGCGATTATATTCCATACAACTTTACTAAAATTTGAAAACAGGGAACTGAATAGACAAGTTTGAATTAAATGTAGATTTTCTCATCTTGATACTGATGCTAGTTTTGAAAGTGTCACCTTGAATCCTGGCTTTTTCAAGGCTCCAACTTCAACACTGTCAAGAAAGCTCTGGGTTCTGTTTAAAAACCAACAATTTTAAATTAATTCTACCAAGAAAAGTGATCGAAAATCCACCCAGGATCATAAAAAAGGCTCGTCATTAGGCTGCAACTAATATTTATTTTAGTAATCGATTAATCTATCAGATATTCTGAAAATGTTTCTATTTTTCTTCAGTTTTGGATTGACTACTGCTCAATACACCTTTTCTTTAGTCCATATACACCAGTTGACGATTAATCGATTACTAAATTAGTTGCAGATTATTTTTGATAATTGGTTCATCAGAATTAATGCGACTTATTGTTTCAGCTCTTCTTGTGATATCTTCAAAAAATGTGTAGCTTGGGTTCATTTTGATTAATGAGCAAATTCTATTAAAGTTGTTCATTATATGATCATTCCACCGTGAATAAAAAACAGAAAATATTTTGAAAATCATTGCCCAAGAGAAGTGTATGTAAACTTTTAACCCGTGGATAAACAATTTTTAGCTAAGGAGTTGTAAAAGTCCCATTTTTTGACCATTCCAAAAAAAACAAAACAAAAAAAAAAAAACAAAGCAAACTATTACACCTTATAACAACTTGTCTGGCGTGTCTTCACTGCACTGCTTCACTCCTCACCGGCCTTTCACAGTGGGCGCTTCCGCCTCACAGACACCCAAGTATAGTCATGCATCCTGCCTGCTTGGGACGGGCCTGCAGAGCTTTCTGGTCACAGCTTGGCTTCGTGTGGGTGGGCTTGCACAGGGACCGGCTGTACCCGGTGGCATCCCCTGTGCCATACGCGTCCCAGCGCCAGTCACGTGTGTCCTCCTCACACTGCTCATCGGTGAGCATATGGCCAAACAGCCATGACGGCGGCACTAAGAGGAAGTTTGTAGGTAAATTTAGAACGCAGGTTTGTAACAAGATGAGTTGACGCTTGCGTCACTGCCCTCGTATGTAAATGTCGTTGTTTTGTTTCTGACTGTGGCCTGCTTTGCGACCACTTCAGGAGGATTTTACACCATAGAGAAGAACCCTATGGATCTTAGTTGTGTTGCAGTGTCAAGTTGAATTCCCACAGCTGAGATGTATATTTGTAGCATGAATATAATTAGATGATCTGACTCACTTCACTTTCTGTTTTTTTGCAGGCCCCAATTTGAAGACATTATGCAAAATAGCTGTTATTCAGTACAGTTTGGAGCAGTCAGGACTCCCACATGATATCAGGTCAGAGATGCATCCTCCTCTCATTAATGCTGTTTTGTCACAGAACCCACACATTTTAGGTCATGTTTGTATTATGCTTGTCACTCTCAGTAATGAGATTATTTATCAAAAAGGCTAATTATAACTCATTATCCTTCATTCAGCTTGTGGCGTACTAATGTACATTTTACACATAATTATACCTCAGCTAATAGCAGAAAAGTTTGTTTTATAAAAGAATCAAATGATCATGAAGAAACGTTAACGCAGACTGTGACGTATTTCGTCTGAGCCTTGTGCCCGTTTACATCACACGGACGCCGCCTCATTGTCCGGCAGAATAAAGGTGGAAACTGGTAAACCTACTCAGGCATAAATGTGTTATTAGATTTTAATATTTCGGCAGTGAAATAAGTGATAGCTTGGGAATAAAGGTCTGAAATGACTGAGATTTTCACAAAATGAAAACCTTCAGTAAAAATACTAGTTTTATCATATCAATTTATTTACAACAAAATAAAAATAAAAAAAACAGTGCAACAATATAGTTGAAAGAGAAAGTAATTATTCTTTTTTATTTTATTCCTTTTTTTATTTTATTTTTTTGGTGAGCATTGAGAAATTACACTTTGCAGAAGGAAAAACAAACAGTTTTGACTGTTTGTTTTTCTTTCCCAGTTCATCTTTGTATTTTCAATCTCCTCTGACAGAATCGTTTTAACAGATTAGAGGGGGAAATAAAAACACCATAAAAGTTCACAGAACAAGATGCTATTAGACAACAAAATCTGATCTCATTGGTGAAACGAAGTCCACCCAGTTTGTCCAGAAAATCAAATCTGATGGAAAAAGTCAATCTTTCCATCATTTCTAACCAACCTTTCCTCCATCTTCAGCCATTTTCTATCACTCTCTACAAACATCAACTTCTTGAAATTGATTTGCACGAAAAGACGTAATGAATAACTTGCACTTTTTGAAGCAAGTGTGTCTAAAACTTCGGCCTCCTGCTAAGAGATTTTTTTTCTTTCTTTTTTTTGCAACCTGATACTAATCACTCCTCTTAACCTCTCATTTCTCTTGCATCATCTCTGCCACCTTGCACGCTCCCAGCCTTGGTGTTTGCATTTGTGTTTCTAACCCTTCGAGGGGTTTCCAGCTGGGGTCACAAGACTTTGGTTAACTCCCTTTTGCCTCTCGGTGGCGTCCCCAGCTCCTCTCTTAAATACACGTGCTCACAACAGAAAAACGAACAAAGCAGTTGAGAGGGAGTGAGTGTGAAACCAGAGCCAGTGATAACAATCTGCAGCTCAACCTCTGACCTGTCATCAGGTCACCGCTGGACCCTGTTTGCAGCTCCCGCTCCTCGCGCTCACGTTACGGTCCGTCTTTTCCACAGCCTGCCTCTTTATTCAGACAAGTTAGAGGAGGTGATGGGGACGGCGCACAGCAGGGGGTCTGCCACTTTCTCTGTGTTCCAGAATAAATGTATATATAAACATATATATCTTTTTTTTTGTTAGTTAGTTATTGTTGTTCAAATTTAATATATAGTTAAATATATATATAATGTAGTAAAAGATGATAAAGTATGAAAAGTATCAGTTTTGGAGTAAAACCCTTCCATTCACCCCTTCATTACTCCGTTCTCCTTTCAATCACGAACGTATTACAATTTATAATTAGTCTCTCTCTTCCTTTATCCATCCATTTATCATTTATTCCTTTGTCTCTCTTCCCTTGTCCATTTTTTTCCTTTAAAGTCTAGCTTGGGCTGTTGCGATAACTTTTACTGGACAATAAATTGTCCCAGAAGTCATTGCGATAAACGACAACATTGTTGCTTATAAGGGTTAGATAAGACCAAAACACCAGATTGAAGATTCTGATCATCCAGTTTTTGGTAGAAAGAGAAAAACCATAAATCATGCAAATGAAAATTATTGAACGCATTTTAATTTATAATGCGATTAATTAATTTATTGTTTATTGTGATAAGGGCTACGTTTAGCCACTATAAATTGTCTAAATTCTGTACATAAAGAAATGATGTGCGAGGTTTGAGTGCCTTTCTTCTTTAGTCTGGAATTTCAAAATACATTTGAAACCTAAATAAGTTAATTAAAATGTAAATTCTCTGGTAGAAATTCAAAATAATTATATGAGTTTTTCACAGAATATTATGATTATCATAAATATAAACATTTTAAACACGCTACAGTTACTCAGATTCAGCAAGAAAGAACATTTTTCTAAAGATTTTGACACATTTTTTCCCCCCTTCCTTTTGTTAAAATCAGATGGGAACTGGCAGCCATGACGACCAACAGCAACATCAGCAGACCCATCTTCTCCTCGCATGGTTGATGCAGCTGCAGACGAAACAGAACCAGGACTCTGTTTCAGAAAAGCTGAACTTTTTTTAATTTTTAAATCATCCTGGTCAACTGAACTCCGAGGACTGCTTTGGATTTATCTTCCACATTCTTCAAATGAAAACTCATCACTGACCAAACTGTCCTGGCATAAGACTTCAGCAGACAGAAGGGCCTTGCCCTGCCTAAGGATGTATTTTAATCCTCGACACTCGTTGTTGTGGGCGATGACGCTTGTTCAGATTTTCCTCTTCTTTCTAGCCTCTCTAGGAACCCAATCAGCCTATGATAATCATAGACATGCAACTTCTAATCTTAAGCACAGGAATCGACAAGAATTTCAGCCAAAGGCTCTGGAGCGTGAGCGACCACTGAAGATGTCAAGAAACAAACCTTCAGCTGCAGATCTGAAGAGACTGGTTCACATCCAGTAAAGGACAGAAAGTATTCAGGACTGCAATCCAAGAGTGTTTTGTTTGCAGAAAGTCTAAGTGGTTTACTAGTTTCACCACGACATGAAAGCCTCCCTGCTGCTCCGAAATGGCTCCCAAATGATTTACAAGACAGCTAGAGAAAGCTGTAAAATAATCAAGGGCATCTACCTCCCTCTAAAGTATTTGTCATTGGGTCTTTGACACCTCCTGCACATTTGACACCTGCTAGTCTCCAGAAAAAAAAAAAGAAAGAAATGTTGCAAAGAAGTGTGACCAACCTGCTGCGTAACTCCTCTGACTTCAGAGGATTTCAATATCAAATGCAGAAAAAGATCATTTATCTCACAGATACACATTCTGTGTGTGATTTGGAGAGATTATCTCATGAATCCATTTTGTTTGTAGACAATCCTTCAACTTTCAAACCGGTCCATTTATCAAGCAGATCAAAATCAACGGAAATGTTTGTGTGCGCAGCGTGAAGAAAGCATTTTGTTCATTTAAAAAAAAAAAAAAAAAAAAGGCTGTGGCAACAAAGTCTAATTTATTTCAGATTTTGTTGACGCGTCCCAAAAGTAAGACCAAAACAAACTGTGTAACATCGTCTCTCATCGCTTCCCTGCCTCGCTGCGGCCCGTTTGTTCCTGCTGATTGTTGTTTCTCCAGCGTGACGTTTTTAGCCCTCAGCAGCGAGTAAGGGGGACAGGGCAGGGCAGGGCGCGGTCTAAACATCATACTGATAAATTTCGTTTTAGCTTTTGAGCTTCGTGATCAGCAGATCCAGGAAGTCGCATCTTCCCTTCAAATCTGAAAATGATGAATCGTTCTGGTCAGAATCTGGAGGAGTTATTCTCTTTTTCTCATGTTTTCAAATCAGATTTCAACTTAATCTAAAACCTGAAGTTGTCGTTCCAGTCCACTCTGCGTCCTCTGCCCTTCCTTTGGGACCAAGTCTATCTTGCCTTTCAGTATTGACATCAGTTTCCTCCTGCAGTGGCAGCTACATCTCTTGGTGCCCTAAAAAAACAACAAGTGTGTTTTTTACTGCAGCAGATTAATCTCTCACTGAATCATTTTATTAGATCCTTTGTTAAATTTGAGTGCATTTAGTCAGCAGGAATAAAAAAACAAACAACAAAAAACGTCATGTTTTAAGAAATAATTGTTTTTAACAAAATCACTAGTGGCATAATTATTGGAACCCAAAAATAACATCAGAAAACACTTGATATTTTTTAGGTTAATCTGGTTTTCTAAGACTTTCTAAATGGTAATCCTTAACTTTTTGTTCAGCTTGTTTCCTTTAGCCTCTGGCCTCCTGGCTGGGCGAGGCTCAGATTCTCGTACCAATATGCACAGATATAAAAATCTAAAAGAGTTTATTTGTGTTTCCAGAAAAAGATTATTTTCCATCCTACCATCACAAACATGAACAGGGGCTTTGAAAAAGCAAGCTTATCTGCAATAAAAGCTCCATTTATGTTTGGCATTAAGAGATTAATTTATGTTGAAAATCACCTTTTGTTCATTGTGAATTTATGTGTTTCCTCCAAACACATCAGAACTCATCATGGCATCAGATGAGTTCTGATGCCATGAACTCTGATGAGATTTACATAAAAACAATCTTGTGGACTCTACCAGGAAGTAAAATCTGTGAATAATGATTCAAAATAAGTGGGGAAATTATTTACAAGACACAAAATCAACCTCTTTCACTGACCTTATAGAAAAGTGATGTGAAAAAGAGGACTCATCTGCTCTGACTATATATAAACATTATAATAGAAGACAAAATAAATGTTGATAAAAATAAACTGACCACAGGGTTGCCAATATGTGTGCCACTTGTAATTTAGTTAACAATTCAGTTTCAGATTAAGCTCCTGTGATGAAGGATTTATTTATATTAAAATTTAGCTCCCAGTGTCATTTGACGGATGCAGGGAAACTTTTCAAGGCTCTGAATCCCGAACATCAGGATTTAACACCATTTTAAATGTTTACACAACAGAAGCAGAGTAAAGCAGTCTGTAACTGCAGCTTAGTCACCAGGTTTCTGCACTATCGCCAAATGTGGCACGTCTGGCCTTACAGAGATGAGAAACTGCTCTTTTGCCAAGGTAGACTGGAGAGTTTTTAATGTTAACCAACACAAACCAGTTCAGACTTTTCTTTACAGACCAGCAGTGCCAATGCGACCCAGCAAGTCCGACACTCTTTGAACTACACACACGTACACTTAACAGATTTCCTTAGAGGATAAGACAAAGGATAATGCAGTGAATTCACATTTAAGCCTTTTTTTTTTCACATACTGAAAAATAACAAAACGCAAAACAGAGATTTAATTTTTGTCTAAATATAGTGTGAAAGTAATTTAAATTTGAGCGTTTGCTGCTTTTGAAAATTCTGAATGATCATAATTGTCCTTTAAAAGAGAAGTAAATGCTAAATAATTACGGAGGCAAAATAAAATAAAAATATAAATCCCTCGTATAATGCTCAGAAACATGCTGGGGTTTCACTCGCAGTGCAGGAAATGCAGTTTCTAATTCTCCTCTCGTGGTTTTTGTTAAACCTGACAGCTCTTTGTTCAACGCTTCAACACGAGCTGGAAAAATGAACAAAGTATGAAGGGGTGTGTTTCGGTTCCTTTTACAATTATATAGGCTCTTTATTCTGTTTTTATTTTTCACAATGTTTTAAAAGGGGATTCCTTGTGTGGTGAGGGCTGGCAGGACTTCCTGTGCAATATGCTTTATATGTGTATAAATAATAAATTGAAAACACTTTAAGTATTTTGTTTTTGGTATTAATTTGTCAAATTGTGTGGGTTTTACCATGACAGACACACACAGACTCATACTTATGAGCAATCTAAGGAGACATGCATGAAGAGGAAGATGCAAACTCCATGCTGGGATTTGAACTCAGACAACATTGCTGCAAACCTCCATCATTTTGTCCAAGAGATGCTATGAAATGTACATGCAAGAGACCTCACAATGTGAACTATTTCAGTCACAGCTGTGGTAGACACTATATTCTGCTTAATCAGTACAACTTGACTAAATCACTCTCCTTCCCAAAAATTTTTAGAAAATAGGATTTAGACGCCAAAATGCGAACATTTCCCCTCAAGTAAAAATGTCTTTAGGACTAGTAATAAGAGGGAAATAAATGACACAAATTGTTGAACATGAAGCAGTTTAGAGCCATCATCTGCACCGTGCTCCTTGTGTTTTCTCCATCGTCTTGTCGTGACAGAACCCCAGCTGCTCAGACCTTAAAGAAAATGAAATGGCAATTTAACTGCAAATGTAGATGTTGCTAAATCTTGCGTGAATTTCATCTGTGGCGTTTTTGAATCTGCCGTTTAATTAGAAGCAGATCTGTTGGATCCACTGGGAAGACTTTTTGCTCTTCAGACCTTTTCCTTGCACAGCTTCTGCTCCCTGCTGGGACGCAGCGACGTCCAGCCCAGCCGGCCTGTCTGATGGCCCTCTCCGTCTACTGATGTGGGTGTTTGAGGTAGTCATGGTGACACAGCCCCTCCTCCCCCTAACTGCTCATTAATGATGGGCGAGCGGCTGCTTGGGTGGAGGCCTCACCGTGTCTAACCCTGAACCCTGAATCCAGCGGTGGCCTGGCAGTCTGATCCTGTCTGTCACCAGCCATGTGCTATAAAGCCGGCGTTATCTGCGGCGTTAAGTGCAAGCCGCAGACGGAGGGTCAGCTTAAAGTGAGGCAGCCGAGACACCGTGTCCCGCCTGGTCCCATCGCGCACAGGAAGCCGGGCCGCACTGGGTCCCCCTCGTCTGGCCCTGGAGCCCAAAAACGCAGGCGCTAATGTGGGGAGACACTCAGCCAAATTACTCTCGAATTTCCCCCCAGGACTGAAATGATCCCACTGGCACTTGAGAATCAGGCTGGGGATTTGTTCTGAGTGATTTGTTTTGTCTTGTCCACACATATCACTGTCCAGTCCCTTCACTCAAGTTCTAGTTCTCTGCGTTTGGCACCGAGGAGGGTCACTAAAACAAGAAGGCACCGAGGGAGAAGCCAGTTGTAGCAATTTAACCCAAAAAGTCAGCTAGAAACTGTTTGTACGAGTCAGAAAAGAAGCGTTCCCTGCAGATGTCGTTCTCACAAATATAACTCTTTGAGGATGAGCGACAGTTTTCATAAAAGGCCAAGTTTCTGCTGTGCTTTTTGTCATGTTGTGCGATATCCGTAATCTATTCATCTGCTAAAGGATCTGATTTAGAGCGAGCTGCTGGGCTGCTCAGCCTCAGTGCGTCATGATTACAGACCTGTAGCTTAATTCTCCTCCAGCAGGGGTTTAATTGGGTGACTAATACAAACACAAATGAAGTTTTTGGAAAACAAGCTCCCAAAGCTCACTGCCTCCGAAAAGAAAAAAACACCTTGATAAACGAAGAAGTGATGCAGTGAACAGTTGTTTTATGTAGGATTTGAACTATGATGACTCCGAAGTTTAAACGTAAAACTAGTCTGGTTGTTTTTGTCCCATTTCAGTTCAATTCAGAAATAATTTATTGATCCCAAAGGGAAATTAAATATTGTTGTGACTCATTTAATTAAAAAGTTGTTGCATGGATACTTGAAATCAAACAAAAACAAAAACAGATTTTAAAAAAACCATCCAAAGCAATCTTTTCCAACATAAAGTTTTTGTGCAACCCTTGGTGGCAACAACTGACAATCAGAAGAAGTTTTTTTTTTCTTTCTTACATCTCCACTGTTGAACTTTGACCCTCTTTTTTGCAGAGTTGTAGAAATGTATTAACAGTCAAGGGTCATCCTGCATAAGCAACCAGTTTAATGTCAGTCAGCAACATTTCAATCAGATTTAAACGTGGGCTTTAATTAGGCCACCCCTTAATTTTTATTAGGGTGTTTTTTTAGCTTTCAGTGATGGATTTGTTTTGGATCATTGTTGTGATCCAGAACCCTTAAGCTTCAGGTCTCAAACTGATGGACAAACATTCATTACACTTCAGGATTTTCTGCCAGAGAATTATTATTTTTTTTTTACTTTTAGTCTTCTAAAAACAACTAAAACACCCAGGTCTACTTCTTTAATATTTTTGAAACATTATCTTGTAATATAAACTAGTTTGCAGCATTTTTATTGCAAATTTTGCAATAAGATGCACAGTTTTGTTTGCGTTTGCGGTATGAAACCTTCAATTTACAGTCTTTTTTAAAAAAAATTTGCGTTACAAAATGTGCAGACCTTATTTTAAAGAAGTCAACTTTTAAAAGAACTATTTTTAACCAACACACAATGATTCCTCATTTATATTATTTTGAGAGTAAATATACAATCTGACCTCTGACTGTGTTGGAAGTATATTTAACTTTTTCCAGACTGAATTAGTTTCTGAAATCTTTGAGCGTTTTTCTCTTTCAGAACCCGTTTCAAGACTCTCAAACTGTAGTTGTTCCATTAACTCGGTTTTGCGACATTAACCAGTTTTAATTTGGAGTTACTGGAAAAAGGTGTGACACCCAGTACTACCAACCAGTGGTAAGCATCAGCTTCTTTCCCCACCGCATGATATGACCATGATAAAGACACACATCAGCTGACGGGTTGATAATGAAGACCTGCCAATGCAATTATTTGTTAATGTGACATGTATTACTGACACCAGTGTTTGGAGTAATTACAGCTAAGCGACGGGCTTTTAAAACAAGCACCGACAGACGGAAAAATAACGGATACGGCAAAAGAAACACTAATACAACAAGATGTGCACAATAAAACAAATCTAAATGTTTTAGATTTAGAGTTGTTATCACAGTTGCTCACAATCTGCGCTTCCAAAGACCCGAGTCTCTTCATCCCATTATTCCTTTGTGTAGTTGGAAAAAAAAAGACATTTAAAAAAAAAAAACCCAACAATTTCAGGAGTATACTGGTTTCTGCTCTCTAATAACATTATGTTGAGACTCATCCCAATGCAGACTAGACATTTTTACTCATTCACATGTCTAATCATGCTTTCCATGTTTAAAATTAATTAATTTTAATTAAAAACCTGTCTCTGAAGTTCTTCTTGTTGCTGGGTTAAGATACAGCAGACATTCAGAGACTTGGTGCTTCAATCATTAACGATTACAAATATACTCCTGAAACTGCTGTCTTTTTTTAAAATGTCTTTTTTTTCCCCCCAACCTTTTTGTATTTTTTCTTTATTTTGTGCCAACAGAAGATCCCCACAGCTTCCTGCAGGAAAACATCTCTCTCCAGTCCCCGTTTTGCTCCCGGATGAATGCAGCTCTTGTTTTCCAGCAGCAAACAAGATGCTGTAAAGCTGAGAAAGCCTGACCTTTTCTGTCCCATGCTGTACGGTCAGAAGCATTAATAAATCATGTTGGCTGTAAAGAGTTGCAGCAGCTTACATCAGGGGTGATTCTTGTAAGAATTGAGGCCCTGAGTGCGCTCCAACACACAATAATAATAACTTTTTATCACGTAACCTTAACTATCTAAAAGTCATGATTACATTAACTTAGAAAATGGCAAAATTATTAAACGACTGGAACTATAAAATGTTATTCGGCTTCATTTGTCGGCAGCTTAATTTTCAGTATTTACTTTGCACAACAAATTTATTTCCTCTAGAGCTGATATGCAACATAATTTACAGGGGGAAAAAAAAGTTTGTTGCAATGACTTTCTAAAATACTAATAACTTTAACTATTTATTTATTATGTTTGATTGCTCCTGTCACCCCCTGAAACTATCCCACCCTGGGCAGTGAGCCATGTTGACCAAATAAAAATCAGCCACTGCTTTGTGGATTCTTAACAATATAGTTTAACAACAATATAATGTATTATTTAACTCATTCTTGTCTCATTTAACACTAAGAATCTTAAAACGAAAATATTATAGAAGAGTTTTAGACGCCTTGCAAAATGCAGAAACCTTTACAGTCGATCATGTTGCAAGTTTATTTCTCTTTTTTTTTGTGCTATTTTAAGGAATCTTGTGAAGCATAGATGTCCTACTGCAGTTACAGAATGAACTGAGTAATTATTTTATATTTTCACAGTGCAGATTATCCATCTGGATGTCTTAAATGATTAGACTATACTTATTGCATTCAATGTTTTCTGAAAAATGTGACAAATTCAAACTGTTGTGTGTATTGGACCCTGCTGCAAGCTTCACATATAACCAATGAATCCCTAAAATCACAAATGTGCTTACATAAGCAAACTTACTGGTTATTTGAAGCAAAGTAAATCTCCTCAATTCAAAGTCTTAGTCAACAAAACAAGAGTGCAGACGCTAGACTCTTTAATTGCATCTCCTTCATCAAAAGTGTGTAAAATTGAGTCATTCATGCAGGTTCTGAGTGGGAAATCACTTCCAGCCCGAATTATCCAGGGTCTGGTTGAGTGTTTGGACCTAAATAAAGCTTAGAGGACAGAGAAAAGTCTTCATAGATTAACATTTAAAACTATCAGGGGCCGCTGATTGTTTGGAGATCTTAAGCATTTTAAAAATCAAACAATTTATTATTTATTTTTTTGTCTTCTTTCATAATGACACTTCACATCCCTGCTGAACCGACTCCCACGTCCAGTCCGGCGGGTTATTATTAGGAGTCGCTAAACTAAATATAACTGGCTTCGGTCGGCTGTCATCGCGTCACAACAAGTGAGATTATCCCGCGGAGTTTTCTCTGAGAGGTGTCGGGTTTGGTTTGAGGGGGGCTATAAAAGGAGGGGCGGCAGCAAGTGGCTGGCACTCAT